GCGGCGGGCTCGGCTTCCCCTCCCCCCAAACCCACCCATCTCCCCACCTACACTTTATTTTTGCCCTATAAACTAGCACAGTCCTCTAGCCACCCCCTCCGAGGACAGCCAAATGGGCCGAGCGAAACGCACACGGAGCGCCGGGCTAGACGGGAACACCCCGTGTGGGCGAAATTTACCTGCCCATTCCCCACCCCGGTGACATGTGCTCCGGGGAGAAGATCAACAACCCAGACCAGGACCCGACGCGGATGGGACGAGTGACCGAATCGTTTTAATAAGTAGCAAAATGGCAGGTTTATGCTGACAAAGCGTGTGATGTGGCAATAGCACGGGTGGTTCACCTACTTGTGAATTTGTGTTTCGCTTTTGACTGAATCCTCCGCCGCTCTCCGCAGCGGCCATTTCACCCTGCTGCTGATCTGCGGAAGAAGAGTTGAGAGACTTCTCAGACAGCAAAGCGTCAAACTGAGTCGCACAGAAGAGAACACAAAGTAAAAACACGATCAAAACCCTCAAACTACATTCCCTTTGGTAACTTCCGTAGCTGCTATGCAGATATTCAGACAACAAAGTCTGCTGAGCGTTCACAGGGCCAGCTAGCCTCTGAGCTAACACGAACTCTACACAAGTAATGTTCAGAAAACTCGCCAGACAATTAAAGCGACCAACGCAGTTTCATCTGCTTTGAAATATACAGATCTATTTATTTGTTTAATACATGTAGTATTAGCTACATATTTAACTGGGTGACGGTGTAAGTTAAAGAGAAGCACCACCAACAAGTAGCGTTAAGTAACTAGAGTTGGCCACTTTTTAAGTTTACAGACTCGACAACAAAACATTACCATTTTAATAGTTTAAACAATTTCATTGTTATACTCTGACAACTTTTCAAACTGTTGAGTTAAAGGTCGGTTAATACTACGCCACCGAGTTTTAAAAGTTCACTTACTGCTCATAATTTGAAGACGGGAGGAGTTTCTCTTGTCTTTTTTCGGCTTGACAACTTTTCACAACTTCACACAAACTTAATGTTCTCCCTCCCTTTGAAGGAGGCGGGTGGGTGCGTTCGATTTATATACCGTTGCAGTCTGAAAAGTTAGTGAAACGCGCGCACATGAATAGCGAGAATGTTGGACGATTTCAGTCGAGGTTTAACCAGCGTTTAAATGGCAATCGTGAAATGAAAGCTAATCACAAGTTTGCACACTTTAAATTTAACTCTTAATACGACTGACCTAGAAACTACTTACAATAGCTAAAAGCCAGAAAAACTATGGCGCTATTTGAAAACAAATTAAGCGCACCTCATTAAGAGCTACTTCTGATTGACTGCTACTTTGTCCAATAGAAACGTTAACCTCGCCCAATGAGCAACAGTCAGCCAATGAAATTTGATTAAAGGCGGACATATGGGCGGGACTAAAAAGGTAGGTTGTACTCCTCCTGAGCATAATTGACGTCAGGTTATTTGTTTTTCTCCGCATAAACAGCGTCATGAGTATTTTTGTCTATGTAAATATTGATAATTTTCTTTGATTTGTGTAGGAGTGGAGAGTGTCATTCGACAAAGAAAAGAAGCCAAAGCTTATCTCTTTCTTTGAGCAGAGAGGTGGGAAGAAAGGAGGGGGAGGCCTGGCTGAGCGTTTGAGTCTTGCCTCCGTGGCTGCTGGCCACTCCCTTGCTTGTGGCTGCTGCTGGATCTGTGGAGGTGGCGGGAGGAGTCACGCAGGGTGGAGGAGAGATGAGGAACCCCCATATCGTTCCCACACTGGGTGTGGAAAGTTTGTGGGAGGGTTATTTACCAATGTGATGGGGCTGTCAGTGAAATAGCACATGCACCCATGTAAACATGACAGAGGGTGGAGTTCAGACCAGGCTTGAGCCCACCCAGCAGTGTCTGAAGTCCACCATACCCCGTTTCATACACATGGCAACACTTTGCACTTCTGCCTCCAAATATGTATCTCTTTGTCATAGTTGATCTTACACTAGAAGAAATACACCGAAATGAAAAAAATGTAACATGCAGTTGTAGGTTGAGTTTTATTTATACTTTTTAAAACTATTTATTACCATACCTATTAGCAGAAAAAGACTCCAGTGTCCTCAAAGTGACCTTTGCAAAAATTTCCATCACCTTATCAACACTCATAATACCTTGTATTGATGAGCATTGTTTGTTCCCTAAAATGTTTAAGAGCAGCCAAACCTTATCAGCAAAATGTCTAAACACATCGTTGAGGTTTTCCTTTGTTTATTTATTTTTATCACGTCTTAAAATAACCAAATCAGTTTAATCATATTGCATCAACTGACAAAGGTTACCTCAGAGGACTAAAGGAACAAACAAGGTCAAGATTCAAATTGAATCACAGTGAATTCGTTCTTTTCAGAACATTGACAATCAGTAAAAATTATCTATGTAAGAAGGTCAGGAGATTGTGTCAAATCTTTACTTTGTTACAGTTAGAACTTTTGTGACAGTGGAAAGGAGCAACTTTCTTTTTCAGCCTTCAGAAGATCCAGGCTCAGAAAGATGATCTACTTCGATCTGGAGTTTGAGAGGACAGGAAAGAGACACAAACAAAGACGATCAGATAGTTGTAGTTTATTAAGAAGAGAGAAGACAGCAGAAAAGTTTGTCCTCTTTTAGCAACATAGCTATAGCTCATGAAATCCAATTCAAAAAGCAAGATCTTAAGCCTGGTCTTAAGTTAACAGGGTCAGCCTCAGATGGATAACAAAGCTATGCCTCCTAGATTTCTCCAAATACAAGTAACCTAAACCTCCAGCCTGAGAGCATTGGACAGTAGGCTCTAATATAAGATGGAGCCTGTTTGTTGAGAGTTTTTTAGAAATAAGACTTTGAATCCTGTTCTGAATTTGCAGGAAGTCAATAAAGAAAACTAGAGAAATATAGGCTGGGAATTCTGGTTTTAAATCAATTTGGATAAGGATGCACAATGTATCGGTATTAATATCGGTATCGGCCGATATTGGACATTTTTTAGAATATCGCATCGGTCCGATATGTAAAACTGAGCCAATATTAATGTCCAATATTGATTTCCCACTTTTTATCTTTAGTTTCTGTTTTGAGAGGGGAGATGTTTGGTTGAGCGGCATCTGTTTGATCATGAAAGTGATACTGATGCTGCGCAGCCAGGAATAACTGAAGTAGTGAGTCATGTCAGAGGTCTGGTCGTTTATTTACGGTATCCTAAAAGACCCAAGTGTGTTTGTGCGTATTTGTATAATATAATTTGTGTGTTTATGTAATGTCGGTAAATATCGGTTATCGGCCATAACAGCAATAATTATATCGGATATCGATATCGGCTGAAATTTTCATATCGGTGCATCCCTAAATTTGGATAGTCAAATAATAAAGAATTTCAGAAGTCCAGTCTAGAAGTGACAAATTCACAAATCTTTTAAAAACACTAACAATAATAATAATAATGTTATCAATAATAATAACTTTTAATTGCTGGCAAAATTTCCAAAAAAGATTTATTTCTATTTCTTTTAAAATTGGATCGTAGAAATATCCTAATCAAGCTGCTGTAAGCACGCGTCATAGTGGAGCTGCTCTGGGGTGAGATGTTAAAGAAGGTCACAATTTCCTGATTTGTAAATTAGCTTCTGTAATATTTGAATTTGGACGCTTCACCTCTGACATTTGCTGCAGCTCGACTCTGCGTTTTGTTTTATGCAGGATGTGGCGCAGCTGCGTCCCACGCTGATAACTTCTTGTGTTTCAGATGAGATGCAAAGTCACTTCCTACAGATGATCTATCATCAGCCCTGCCGAGCCCAAACACAACGGGGGGTTCTTTCGGTGGAAATCAGCAGAAACCCGTAATCAGGCGCTCCATCACCGATAAACCCCAGCATGCTGTGCGCACTTTCTCCACTGACTGAAGCTGAAGTTTCCTCACACAGACTGACAGGAAACGAGAGAAAAGAGCGCCGAGAGCTGACACAGAACTGAAACCTGCAGCCTCCATGAAGGTAAAACTMTTTTCTTTGTCTGATCAACTTTTTATATTAAAACAAATCTGAACATAGTTTAAGGGTTTTGATACTTTTACATTCATAGCCTATACAAAGATTAACTTTCTTTATCCAATAAGAGTATTTAAAAAAAAAGTCTAATGGCCTCAACATTTTCTACCTTAGTGTTAAATATTGGGCTGATGTTTCATATTTTAAGCACTGGTTAAAAAAGCASGTTTGCATGTGGCACCAGGGTAGTATTTACTATGTGCCCCCCTGGGCTGCAGTGCTACCTTTGGGGCTCTGTTGGCATTTTTTTCAAATTTTGAACAAATTACACATTAACGTCAAGGTTTCTAGTGACACAGAGCTGCTCTTATCTTGAATGTAAAATACGAAGCACAGACAAACTATCAGCCTGCYCAGGCCACAAGTGGATCTGAACCTTTTGTCACTTTTTGCTCTGATATTTAAAAAAAAATAAAGTATATTTTTAATAGAGCAAATAATTTTAAGGTATCATGAAAATGCGAGAGATCCRGATCATCAGCAAACTAAATAAGCAACGCTGTAACCATCTTTTATAAAGCAGCATCAACAGTCATTTTAAGGTTACACAAAACAAAACAAAAAACAAACCACTGAGTTAAAAAATAACGRAAAACATAGATAGATAGAATTTACATCCATAAAGGGATTTTATGGAGACTAAGATGAAAATACAGAACTTTGTTTAACTATCAATTAAAATATGTTCATTGTTTATGTTTCAGAACTATAAAACAATTAAATGGATGCTATAAGCTGCTACACAGCTTGGAGACATTTCTGTGGAGAGTTAAACTTGCTCTCTGAGAAGTAACAGTTTCAGGTGTTATTTCTGGAAGCAGGAGTGGAACGTGTTGAGTCACACTAATGTTTAGGTGCAGCTGAGGCCAAACAAACGGACACCTTTTTATGCCGCAATGCCTGAGGGCCTATAGACGTCCTGCGTGGTTTGGCCTTCATGCAAATGGGTTTCCTCAAATTCTTTGAATATTATGTACTGTAGATGGATATCGGAATGCCTAATTTCTTTACGATTTGTCATGGAGAACTATTTTTAGAAACAGATAAAAGTGATCCTTCCTGGTGAGTTTGTTCTGGGGTGATGAGCTATGATCATGGTGGTTAAAAACAATCTTTGGCATCTTTTTTTGTCAAATCCTGTCATCCTCATCTGTAACTGATTATGTTGTTGATGGTGGAACATTTTCAAAGTGCTGTTACTTTTATAAATTTATAACATAACCCTCTTTTTATACATGGAGTTTGGTCAAATAAAATAAAACCAAGTTTCTGCAGTACCTTTTAACTTTCACGCTGTGGTCAGGAAAAACAGGTCCTGGTTGTTTTAGCAGCCACAGTCTAATTTTAAAGTAAACATTCRTAAAACCTGAAACAGTTTAATCTCTGACCCTGTGTCCTGACAGCCTCAGAGACTCATCACGCTCCCTGGTTGTTTGTGAGCCGAGACGATGGAGAGCTCGTCGTCCACAGTGAAGCGACGAGCCTGGATCGAGAGCAGCCGACAGTGCCTCACTTTGGAGGAACCTGATGGGTTCAGAAACTCGTCGGCCTGGATAGCGGACGACGATGTGTTTTCTGATGGTGAGATCCTGCAACACGTTCAGAACATTTATCTTCTTTTGAGCGACAAGAGCAAAAAGATTCAGTGCAACACTTGAATCTATGATTTAAGCTGCTGCAAATTAAAATGGCTAATAGGAATGTGATTTCCACAGGAGGCTTCACTGGAAAAATTGAGTCCTGGCTTATGGGTTGTGGGTGAGTCACCTTGTTTTATGTCATCTGATGAGGTAACAGTTTCTGAGCACTGACAGCTTCTCAAGAATGCAGCTCTTTGGAAACTGTAGTAAACAACAGCGAGCAGAGAATGGAAACTGTCAGGTGCTGCAGGAAGATGATGCTACGAAGTGGCCACGGTACTTTTAGTCGTACCACGACAACAAAAGAATAAAAGCAAGCTTGTTGTCAACCACAAAAGAAATGCACCGAGGCAACATTTTATGTTACCTGCAGCGATTTGTCAGTGGTGCTCGCTGTCTTGTCGATATAAAAGATAAAACTGTCACAAAACAAATGCAAGTTTTATGCAAGCCTATCTCTAGCTGTCACTGTGTGAGAGGCGGGGTGCATCCTGGACAGGTCGCCGGTCCATCACAGGTCCACGTAGAGACAACTATTCACACTCTCACTCATACCTGGAGTTTATTTACAGATATCAACTTGTCTAATATGCATAATTTTGATCTGTGGGAGGAAACTGAAGTTCCTGTAAAAAAAAATGCATGGAGAGAACAAGCAAACTTCACATAGAAAAGCCCAAACCTTCAACCTTCCAGCTGTGAGGCGACAGCTCTGACCACTTCCCCACTGCGCTGCCCGGCAAGTTTTCAATAACTAATAAAATGATGCTTTTGGCTCTTTGCTACATATGAAATAATGTTGTGGTTTAATTCAACAATTAAATAACCAATAGGAAATAAAAGTTCCCTCTTTCTTTTATGAAACTGAGTGGAAGAAGAAGGAAGRAAAAATATATATAAATAGACTTCACTCACTGAGAGGGAAGTCGATGCTGCAGGCGGTCACGTTTTATACGATAGAATATCAGAACGAGGATCAACGCTTGTGAAAACCCCATTCAAAGAAAGAACGTGCATTCTTAGAAGTCAAAGTGAAAATGGGCGGCAGTTTATGTGGCGTTAACCTGGGGATTAATATTTCTACAAGAGGAAGTTGCTTCAGCAGCCTGTTGAAAACAGATTACAGAAAGTCCAACAAGGTTGTACTGTAACTCGCCTGCTATTATTTCCCTGATGAAGCTGGCCATGCAAACGCAGCCACATGTTTGAAAGACATATGCAAATGACACTAACCTGATATGTGTGTTTGTGTTTATACAGTACATTAAAAATCTAAAAAATGTCTTGCAGATCAGAAGTCAGTGGGGAGAACGGCCGTCAGCTCAGTTTTGGTGAGTTTGAACTGGAACGTTATTCTAATGTACGACTGTGACACAGAGCTGAGATATTTCACCGAATGAATACATGATTGCTTATGTGTGAAGTAAATAATGAACAACTCAAAAGTGGGCTGTTTAAAATAAAACTTTACTTTTGTTGGTAGCATGTACTTTGAAATCCTGAGGCCSCAAGTTTGAGCCCAGTTTGGATCAGGAAGGGCATCTGGGGCATAAAACAAATCASTCCCTGGTGAACACCTGTTTAATAAAGCAGCTGGAAGAACAACACTTTTATGGGGTGCCAAGTGTAAAATAAAATATAAATTAAAAAAACGTCATTAACACATTTTCATTATTCAGCTTACGTTCTGAGTGTAAAATCCTAGTTAAAATTTCCCATTAACATTTTATTGTTATTTAGC